GAATAGAATAGATAATGGAATGGAATAGAATAGAATTCTATTCTATTCTATTCCATTCCATTCAATTCTCTTCCATTCCCTAATCTATTCTATTTCATTATATTGTATTCCATTCCATTCAATTCCATTATCTATTCTATTCCATTCAATTCTCTTCCATTCCCTAATCTAATCTATTTCATTCTATTCTATTCCATTCCATTATCTATTCTATTCCATTCCATTCCATTCCCTACTCTATTCTATTTCATTCTATTCTATCCCAGTCCATTATCTATTCTATTCCATTCCATTCCCTATTCTATTATCTATTCTATTCCATTCCATTCAATTCTCTTCCATTCCCTAATCTAATCTATTTCATTCTATTCTATTCCATTCCATTATCTATTCTATTCCATTCCATTCCTTACTCTATTCTATTTCATTCTATTCTATTCCATTATCTATTCTATTCCATTCCATTCCCTATTCTATTCTATTTCATTCTATTCTATTCCATTCCATTGCATTATCTATCCTATCCTATCCTATCCTATTGTCAAATCCATTGGGCAGTTTTTGTATAAGCTAAGCAGGAAGTCATCTGACAAACAGTTGTGACAAATCGGTTTTCTTGATTTGAAGCCACCGCAGTCTTGATTCTTAAGCATTACAGAGTCTGGGAACACTGAGAAATTCTCAGCAAACGATGTGATCTAGAAAATTAGATCGCTCCTGGAAATACACAGTTTCTGTTTGGCTTCCATTGAATTGATCCTGGAAAACATCAAGTTAATTATTCCAGAACTTGACTAGGCACACTGATCCTTGCTAAAGAAATGTTAGTAAGCTTCTCTGGATCTAAGATACGCTTAAAGGATCCTTTAGCTGCCTGTGATCTTCCTGTAGGATTCCCACATCACTTCCCATCTCAAAGTCTTTCCGTCTTTTGTGTCAGCCAAACCACAACAGTGATAATTCAAAAGGGGGGGGGAATCAACACATAATAGTTAATTGAAGTAAAATTCCTTGGCACACATTGCATAACGTGACTTCAAGTGCCCCATTTTACACTGAAAGATGGAGCTTTTAAAAAAGCTTTCCTCTGCTACTTACTTTGATACACTTACAGTGCTTTTCTAAACGCTTAAGATTTACAACTCACTTTGTAAACACACCAATAAGATATCGTTAACTGGATAGATCAGAAGATAGATCCACAGATAGATGGATGTAGTCAGCCACTGTTCCTAGGTGTGATTCGGAAACAGTCTTGAAAATAAATTTGATGCTTAAGAGAGGGGTTTTGTAATACACTAACTTCCTCTTCACTCATTTTAAAAGAAAGAAGAGATAGGAAGAAGAGGGAGATGTGTGTGTGAGAGAGAGAGACAGAGACACAAAGAGAGACAGACAGAGAGAAAGAGACAAAGAAAGACGCATAGAGAGAGACAGAGGGAGACAGAGACAGAAAGAGAAAAGGGATCTTATAAACCCAAAAAGAAACGTCCGTGAAGTCCACATTGCCAAACTTGATTTTGCACCTCCACTAAATCCTGACCATCTTCTGAAGAGAAATCTAGAAGCCAGATGTTCTGGAAGAACAGGACCTGCTTCCGTGACTCTTACCTTTTTGATGAAAGTGGGGCTGAGGGTCTCCCAGGAAACAAAATCATGTTCCATCAGTTCCACAAAGGCCTTCAGGGTATACGCCAGAACCTCCCCTGTACTGGAGTAACAGACAGCAAACAGGGTAAGAGCCAAAGGGCGGGTGGAAGACTCAGACCCAGAAACCATAGGAAGGATGCATTAGAGGAACCTGGGAGGAGAGAGAAGGGATAAACGAGAAGAAGAAGAAAAAGGAAATGTCTCCATAAAAGCCAACATCCCCGGGGAGGGAAAAAAGACCAAGGAAGCAGAAAGAGATGTGGCAGACTACTCTAAGGTAAAACTCAAGGGTCATCACAATATTGTTGTTGAGAAATGCTTGCTGTATTATAAGTGTGTACCAGTGGTGGGATATGACCGGTATGCCTCGGTACGGGCATACCGGTGCCTGCTGGGAGCACCAGGTACCGTTCCAGTACGGTGCTCCGGAGGGCGCACCCGCCCGCCTGCCGTCCTTACCTGTATTTGAGCCGATCGGGACTTCTGCGCATGTGCACACAGAGCGTATAGTGCCTGCACGACACTCCGCTGAGCAGCTGGAGTGTTGTGGGCGATAAGTACGCATGCGCGCATGCATGTGGTGGATGCCCGGCCCCATTGCACCATACCGGTTGCGACGGGATCCGGAACCCACCACTGGTTGCATAACTCACTCTAGTCACAGGGGAGAGTTGGATCCCTGAAACTTATGATTATTCATTCACAACTTCAGGTTATAAAGAGAAAACGGAGGAAACTTCGTGGAGAAGGGAGTTAAGATGCACAATTTTCACGAAACCCCAAATGGATTGGTGCCTCCTTCTTGGAACTCAATTGGACGGGCAGTTCCTTGATCCGTAAGGATTATTGGCTGACGGTGACACCCAGCGGTGGGATTTACTTAAGTTTGCCTGTTCCACCACAAAACCGCGGACGACAAAATCGCGGTCGACGAAAGCGCGTATGTGACGTCATCACAGCGCGA